TCCCCCCCCCCCCCCCCCCCCCCCCCGCCCGCCCCGCCCGCGCCCCCCTTCTGCTCGCAGAACGATTTAGCGGAGCCCAGCCCGCTCTTGTTCTTGCTACGATCAGGCTGATTTCAGCCCCATATCCTCCCCACCCAGCAAGCAATTCTAAGGTCCATGACTGCTGCATTTTCTGATCCTGTTTCCCGCGATCATAGGCTGCTGGTTTCCTCCGCCCCTGTCTACGCGTGGTGGCGATGAACACCGCCGCAGCTCTTCTCCGCTCTTTGTATCAATACAGGGACGGGTGCTGTACTACTGCTGTGCGGCATCAGCCACCGGAATCTCAACCGCCCGGCAACGCGCTCTCGTCGGGCCCGGCATAACAAAAAAACAAAATCACACCAATACGGAACTACGGGGCGTAAGTTAAACCGCGTTCATCGGTGGAAAATAGAGGTGAGCTGCTGCTGTCTGAGGGGTGACCAACATGTCACCCACCCCCACCCCCGCCCCCCTGAAGAACGCACCAGAATCTACCCACTTAAAGCTCGGTCACCCTTTCCCGCCGCCCCACCCCCTGTCTAAGCGTGGAGGTTGGATTCTTGGCGACCAGCACTCAAAAATGGACACAAGCAAAATCCTTACAAAAACATACACACACAAACAGAACGGGGGCGCCGCACCGCGACGTATCATCCGGAAGGGGCCCGCCCCCGCAAGCAAGAAAAACCAAGCACCGGCGTGCCTCACTCAACAACCAAAAACGACAACAACGGCTGCACACCCACCACCGCCGCACCAACGGCGGCAGCCCATCGAGGAGACCGAATTTTCTATCGCAAGTAAGAAAAAATGAGCATTCAAGATATTAGCGGGTGCGGTGCTCGCCCTGGGGGGGGGGGGTCATGGGGCGTAGTTTTTGGTGCTAGCCTTGAGGTCCTCCCACCCCTCCCCCTCCTGTAGGTACACCTCCATCGCCTGCATCATCTTGGAGAAGCCTCGCTCCATCTCGCCCTGCCACAAGATGTTGTGCTCCGCGTTCACCTGCCACGCATGGACGGGAAAGGGCGATCAGAAGGGCGTGCAAGCACAGGGCGGCGGCGGGGCGAGAGCTAGACTCTTCAGCACCGACCACCACAAAAAAGTGCAATGAAACAAAACTCTGCGATCGGACTGGCCAACAGGCACAACAGGTCGAGGTTCTATTGACGCACGGGACCACGACGAGCCGTCTCCCAGGCCCCTCCCTTACCTTGATCCCTTGACTCTCTCTCTCTCTCTCTCTCGACGACAGCCCCCCCCCCCCCAAA